GTAAGCCCTAGTCGTGACGCCATCGATATGGAACTGTTAAATGGAACGTTATTCCTTTTTGCAAGCAAAAATCTTTAAAATCGTTTGACAAATACTCACGTCCATTATCACAATATAGGTTTACTATTTTTTTATTAAAATGGGCTTTATTTTTACCTACAAAATCTTGGAATACTTTCAAGACTTCTGATTTATAGGTTAATAAATATGTTACGGTGTAGTGAGTATATTGATCTATAAAGGAAACAAAACAGTTGTGATGTTTAATTGTTGGTGGTGTAATTGGCCCGCATACACCGGAATGAATAATAAATAAGGGCTTAACAACATGACTTTTATTTTTAATTTTATTAAAAAGAAGTCAAACTTGTTTCACAAAGATCAGTAGCGGGGGTTATTTGACTCAAAACTTTAACGTCATCAACTAATTGATTTTGTATTAATTTTTTAAATTTATCATTGTTAATATGACCTAAACGTTCATGCCACAAACGAAAATTATTGTTATCACTACTGCTCTTTGATAACTTCGTTATATTTGCCATGTTTGTAGGTATCATGAATTTTACACTAAATAGGCCATAATTTGACTTACCCGACAGGATGATTTTATTCTTATCATCTTGAACCTTTACTCCCTCATTATCAAATATTACCTTCATACCAGTTTCTTGTATTTTCTTGACGGACAGTAAGTTTGACTGCGAGAGTGGTGTGTACAAAACATTTTCCAAGGTGCCTCGGAACCCTAAGTTGGTGGTGACTGCAATGGTCCCTTTCTTGGTTGCAGCTACGATTTTACCAGATTTTGCAATAGCAATACCCAGTGGTGGTGATAAATTGGTCCAGAAGGTAAAAACATCTTCTCTGGTAACGACGTGATCTGTCGCTTCTGAATCCAAAAGGAACCTTATGCTTTCATCTCCTTCTTTGTGATTTTGCACTGTTTCCCAACGTAAATGCAAAATGACTTGCTTCTGCAACATTGACCGATTGGGTTTCTGATTTTTGTTCTGCTATCATTCTTTTGTAGTATATCAGATTTTATATGGTTGTGTCTTCCGCAATGATCGCATGTTATTTTGGGCATTTTATTCTTGTCTTTTGATGGAAATTTTCGTAAAAAGTTGTTTTTCTTGAAAAACCTTTTTCTTTTTTCTGTTTGAATTTTTCACTGCTCCCACTCAACGGTTTATATCGTTTATTTGCTTGCAAGTTCAGTAGGGGAGCGGGGGGCACGTTGTTACAATTTTTAGATAGTTGTTAATATGACAAAAGCAATCAAATAAATTATACATTTGATTACTTGTAATGTTAGTATGTCTATTTAGCTATTAAAATATGACTGAAAAATTATTAAAATTTATGTAATTTTTTCACAATGGAGAATTTAACTAAACAAGTAGATTGTAACATCTTACCCCGGAATTGGGGCTAGTTGTTACATCATCGGGGCACGATGTTACGGTAAATAAATAAACAAAATCGTCAGTGATACATATTTTTTTATTAGTATTTCAAAACGATATAAACAATAGAGATCACTATACAGTCTTCTAACATTTATGAGTAATTATAATATCTATTATGGTAATTATTTAAGTTTTTTTTTGTAGAAAATCACTTTGGCAGGAACATTTTTAAATCTTATATAAAAACACAGACTTAGTCTGCAAATAACAACTTGTAGTAATTAAATTATTCACTTTCACTTCTTAATTAGTTATATTAATAAACTTTTGGCAAACTAAAATACTTTGGATTCTAACATTTTTAAGGCACTTATATTATAGAAAGATATATAGTAATTTTTATAGAGGTAGGTAACAATATCACATACAAATATTAAATCAGTCTTCATCAGAATCGCAATTAATGCAAATGAATGAGCGAACATTTCCCGTTACACATTTGACATGGGCCCACATTTTGCATTCTAAACATTCTACCCAATCTTCTTTTATCGAGGTGCTATAACTTTCGCTACACACTAAACAAAACCATTCATCAGTATCAGAATCTGAATCGGAAACCAAAATTTTTTTCTTCACCTTTTCTTTTCCTTCTTCGCTCATTTTCGAGGACTTTCCTTTACCTTTTCCTTTTCATTTACCTTTGCCTTTTCCTTTAGTTTTGTCACACGTTTTTTTGGTCTTTGCCAGTTTTTCTTCATACTCTTTTTTTAATGAGTCTTTTTCAGTTGTGTCGGTTAACACAGTGGATTTGCGTTTACGACGACTGTTGGTAGATTGTTTTCGAGCTGCTGCTTTAGGAAAGGGTCTTATTTTTGAAGGTGAAAAATTTTCAAATTTACTTTGTATATCAGATGGACCTGGTATCGATAATTCTATTTCATTTCCTTTTTGAAAACTTGCCAAATCTGGAGTCAGTGATGTAGTCAAACATTCTGTATCTTGCGAACTAACGGGATTTGGACAAGGTTAAACAGGAATATTTTTAGTAGTGTCAGGCATTGGATTTGTTACTGTTTCTATTGCCTGTATGATTTCAGTGGTGCTTATGTTCAGTTGAGGTGCAGAATCTAACAATTCTGGATTTTCCAGGTCTAGTGTCAAATTGGAGATGTTCTGCGAAGTCATGGTACAATCTGTTTCTGGATTTTTGGGGTAAGTTGTTACATGTAACAATATTGTAAATTAAAGGTAGATATATTATGAACGTTCAAGGTTAAAAATTTTGACAAAATAAAAATTATAGTCATCAGGAATCAAAAATTTCGTAAAGGATTTTTTTACTTACTTGGTTGAAATCGGGGCACACGCATACAACCTAGCAGCTCAGCGCTTGGAGGGTCACTGATTGTTTTTATCTAATGCACGATGTTATAAGAAAACGAATGAGTCCAATTATGTCCATCAAAGAGTTTAAAATCCCGGTAAAAAACGCGTGTAACTTCTTACCCCTGTAACAACGTGTCCCCCGCTCCCCTACCTTTAAATTGTAGTTTTACTTCATGGTCGAGTAAGTGAGTCTTTACAAATGTCAAATTTAAATTATCTGCACCCAATGTTTCTAAAGCAGTGATAATTCCATCATACGAACTTGGGAGAGTCAGCAGTAGATGAGAAACTTTGTCCATTTCGCCTAAAACTGCTTCTGCTGCCACCAAATCCTCAATTATTGAGTCATAACGGGTGAAATGTTGGAAAAGTATAACATCCCCTTGTAATTTTAAAGTTAACAAGTGTTTTCGAAAAGCCAATTGCGTGGCTAAACTGCGGCGTTCATAAATATTGTCCAATTTTGTAAAGATTACTCGCGTTTTTTTGTCTTTTGCAAAACGCAAAAATGAGTCATTTAAGTATTCCACAATCACATTTCTTGCAACTAAGTCATTCATTTTCCACTCTTCTGTTTGTACGGCCGGCACGTCATTGTCTATTATTTCAAGCACATCATATACATTTACACCCTATACTTTTCACCATTAAATGGCTGAATATTTCTTTTATTAAGTTTATTTTCCATTGTTTTGCTTTAACTTTAATATGTACACTGGGCCCATAACCTATAGGAAACACTATTTACGAAAGTTCTGAATGGTCTATTCTTAGTACCTTTCAGTTCTCTGGTTGACAAAGAACTATATCGAATTTTATTTTTAATACGTACCTAGGTACGTGTGTATATAACTAAGAGTCTTACTAATACAGATAGGAAGTTTTATAGCGAGCACGAGTGTGCGTGAACGTCTTATCGATTCGCCGACTGTTTCCAGAAGGTTCCCAAAAGTATACGAAAGAGTATTTAAAGGAAGGGACGATCGCCGAATGTAGTAGAAATAAATTGACCGTTGCAAAAGTGAATCCAGAAATAAATTGACAGTGATAGCAGTGACATAAATAGTTCAGTGAATAGTGATATATCAACAGTAGTGTAAATAAATAGAATAATTCTTAACCTAAGTTTAGTAATAATTTAATAGTGTTTTTAAGTTCTTTAATAATTAGTGTAAATAAATAGTTTTTGTCGTTATCAGTCTTAGAAGGAACAATTTATAGTGNACATATATGGGACTGGTTCTGCGTAGTACAAATATGTAATTCTAACATAAAGAAAAGGAAGGATATTAGTAAATGTAATAAAATAAGAGGGGTATGGGTCTTTATGTCAGATAAAATTAGTAATGTTGTAATATTAATTAGAAGGATAGGATACCAAATCTTATTTAATGTTGTTTTATAATGTGTATATTGTAATTTACGTATTTTTATATTGAGGTGGATTGATTAAGTTAAATAATAAGTAAACAAATGTGGAATAATTTATATTTTAAAAAAGATATATATGTGTACTGTATACAACTAGAGATTAAAGCTTCACGGTAACAGGTTATCCCTTGCGCTATAAACTAAACAGTGTTTCGTATAACTTTTATGGTTAGTTTCTACATATTATATCTAATTTTACCAAAAACAGCATTCTCGCTTATCATATATACAATGTAGACTACATTCTGTCTCGAATCTGCCTGCAGTGCCCATGGGTTTGTAACCATTCATGACAACCGCTGCTCATGTGACAGCTTTAGCGGAACGTCTGTTCCAAGGTGAAATATGGTCGCTTACATAAGTTAGTGTAAAGAAAGGTAGAAAAGAAGTAAAAGTTAGAAAGTGAAGTGAGAAATGGAAAATAGAACTAGATCCGTAAAATTAAATATATGTATTACCTACAACAAAATGGAAGTAACTAAAATTACACAAGGAAGGTAAATAAATACAAAAAATGGTATTTATACAAAGCTTATTACACAAAAAGCATAAATTATTGCAATAATGTCAAAAGTGTAAAATAAAACTTGTAAAATAATGGAAACGGATTGAACTTTATTCGCAGTCGTAGCATAAACGGTTTTAAAATTTCAGAGGTGGTACATGCTTGGAAACTGATTGTGGGTAAAGATGGGAGAAGGAAAAAATACTTGTACTAAAGCACTACGTCAACATTTCTTCTTTATTAATTAAATTACATTTACTTTCTAACTTAAAAATCCTTAAAAGTATATCTCATATCAGTCGCTTTCTCCTATTTTCAGCCGCTGGCAAGTAGGCTTTTTCGGGTGTGTCTTCCTTAAGTTTTTTCGGTAATCGAGCTATTTTCCCTTCATTTGAAAAGTCGGCTGAATAAATTTCTTCACCATTTTCATTGTATTCAATATTCCAGGGAGTGTATGGCGGAACTGTAAAATGGTCTCCTTCAGGATGAAATCCGTCTTTATCGGCGGTATATTTTACTTTGTAATCCACTCCATCAGGTCCTCTGTAGGAAAAGAATCCCGTCAAAACATAATGGTCCCCACGACCGTTCGCATTTGTGTATGTTGCCTCTTCATTTCTTTCTATGCCATTACTTGTTTGGTAACTAAAAAAAATCATATTTAAGTACTTATTTTTAAATCGATCTCTTCAAAAACTAAAATAATTTTGCCTATAGCTTACTTATTCGCTCACATTTTTTAAGTAAAGTCTATAATTATCGGTACTTAACGTCTTAGCGTTATAGAACTAGTAAGTACCGTTACCGTTGGTTAAATAAATTTCCATCTCCAAAATAACGTCATCTGATTGGTCAAGGTTTACTGCGTTACTCAAAAGACAGATTGATTGATATAATTTGCTTTGTCTAAGACCACTATAGATACTTTATTTCTGTGATTGCTTAAGCAAGTGAATCAAAATAATTGATATTTTTAAGAAAGATAAAATTAGACTGTTAATAAGCAAAACATACAAATATAAGGAAATGCATAACGACAACACTGTGTTTTCTTCCTTGCCGTAACCTAATGATTTTAATATAGAAAATACCACATCCGCCGCAAAAAGGGCAGACTAGTAGCGTTCAATCCATGCATTCATATCATTCGGCCAGAGTTGCTTCCTGCAAGCCACATTCGGGCAAGAAGATCATACTGTTATGTTTAGACGCGCGAATGGTTTTGACAGCACAGTTTACTATATTAATCGCGTAGTAGTTTATTTCTTCTCACCGAGGCCCATAAGTGTTGCATTAAGTGTGTGCAGACATATAAAAATAATTTTGCATTTTATAGCAGTAATAAAAATATTTTTCTGTATTCTGAATGTTTTTTATAGAAACTGAAAGTTCTTTATAAAAATATTATTTCGCGTGTAGTTTTTAAACATACTATCCCCAACTGTTTTGAAAATAATAAATAATTGTTGGGTTATAATATATTGCAAAAGATCATCGACGGTCAAACAATGTGCTCTTTTGTACTCAAGTAGTTTTTGGGAATCACTCCTTCCGGATACATATGTTTTATTTTGAGTAGTTTTGGAGGTTACATATTTGATCGTTTTGTTTTAACTTCTTCAGGCTTTTTGAGTTAATTGAACCAAGAGACGAAATTATGACTGACAAAGCTTCCTCAGATAAAAAGTGAGTTATTGAAACGTAAGAGCACATTCGTAATGTTTTTGTTTTTAGTCTCCAGTTTCTGTTTGGTAGAAATACACCATAGCTTCGGGCAGAATCTAAGCAGATAGGGCTATTCAGAGAATTAAAATAACGAAATGTAAAAAATTCTGAATCATGTTTCTGTTGATTTGCTATTAAACATGTTTATGCTTTCTTGTATTGAGAAAACCGATATTTTCTATTTAAATAACGACGGACAAATTTATTTCTTTGTTAACTTATTTTCTCTTGTACACCTTTCACATGACAAATCTCGGCAAATTTTTTTCTTTTATTGATAATGAATTTCCTAATGAAACTTGAATCAAATACTTCAAACAAGCTTGTAATGATCCTCACTTTTATTTAAAAATAGACGAAAGGAGCAAATGTGCAAAATGACATGAGGGCTATGCTTTGAAGATAGTTGCGAGACCTATTGACATTTTTGTTTTATCTATTTGAGAAATTTTCTAGTTTTGTAATTTCATATCAATAATTATTTGTTTATAATTTGGTATTTTAATTCTGAATAATATAAATAATACATTTTTAATTTTTATGATTGATTTTAACGGTAATAGTAAATAGAAATAGACTTGAATAAACTTACTAAAAATTGTAGATACCAGTACCATCACTTTCAAAATCCTGTTTTAGTATTTCTGCTTTAGACTCATCTAATTGTGCTGCGCATGGAAATATTTGCATAGTTACGTAGTATACCTGTAATAAAATAAAAGAGAAAGTGTATACGGATAAGGAAAAATGCATAATTTGGTAAGCGTGTGGAATACGTTTATTTGACCACATGTATCTGAAAATACTATCTGGCTCTCTAAAAGCTAAACCAACCGAATTTTCAAAATCTTTTGAACAAAGCGTAACAATATTTAAAGGCATATAACATTTATTGGGCTTGCATTACTTATTTTATTATTTGTATGAAAAGATGGTTGAAGGTATTTGTAAAAATTTCGTTACAACACATCGTATTTTTCAAAAGATGTAATTTTATAATTTGGCTACGGTATAGTATTTTGGATAACGCTCACGGGTGGTAGCTCCACAGAAAACCTACGAGTAGAGTAATATGTTGGTGAGGTGGGCGTGACGCAAATTTTAATATTTTTCGCAGTGTAGTAACTAAAAAGAGGACACTTGGTTTGTGTTGCCTTTACTTACTATAGCTATTACGTAAACCTAAGTAAGTTATTCAATTGTATTCTTTTATTCAAATTTAGTACCCCCAGCCTACTCATGAGCTTTCCAATCTATCACACCCTGACTTTGCCCCAATATTATACTCCTGCTAATTATTTCATGTACTAAAATATCCATCCCTCTACTCGCTTCTCAATTCGTCTGTATTGAATAGTAGAATAGCATTAACATTAAAAAATACGTAATTAGGTACATATAGATTTTTGAAAAAATTGTAATTTTGTTGTACGTTCGTAAATAATAATAAATAAAATATTACAAATATAAAAAAATAATCAGAAATATATAAGTTATCAAACTAAAGCATTTAAATTACTTACTGCAAAGATTAACAATAACATTTTGTCAATTTCGTGGTAAATAACTGATTAAAATATAACACAAATTAACAAACATACGTTATCAATAGCAATTGTTCTGTATTGTTCAATAAACTAAACACATATTTCGAATAAGTGATGTCTATATATATATAAATATTCGTAAGAACTACCCCACTCGTAGAGCCATCTCCATCAATAGGTACGTACATGTTCCGTTAAGTATTTTAGAAATGTTCGTTTTGTCAATTAAGTGCAAGCAAATTATATTAAAAATTCTGCCAGAAGCAAGTTAATATATAAGATGAATAAATCTAATGACAAATACTTCCTTGAAATATCAAGTCTCTTACTTTACCGTAATTAATGTTGACCATTTTTTTGTGAATTGATGACGTGTCGCGAGCTGATAACTAATGCCCGAAATTTTTCTTATGGACAAGTAAAATTAATGACTGAAATTCCAGTATAGTATTTTATGCAAGAGTTTCATCTGCCCAATCTGATACAGGAAGTAATCCATTTGTTTTATATATTACATTTGTAACAGGTAATGCATTAAATTCTCATTCACCCATATTACTTTGTACTTACTACTACTTGCTGTACTTACGTTTCTTTAATATTTTTTGAGGAAATCCGTTTAAATAAGTAATTAAATGAAGTAAAAGTCTATAAATGAATATGAAGTCCAAACAAAAAATCTATTCATTATAAATGTGCAAATTATTAATTGCAATAAAAAATTAGTTGATTTTTACATTGGTGCCATTTTTACTAGTTGAGTATGGGTTTTAATCAAGCATCTGCAGATTTCATCTGGTATTCACCGTTCAAATTGTAACTGTTTCATTTTGCATTGTAAATAATTGTTGGAAATTAAGGAAATTGTTTTACTTATTATTCTATTTACCGACTTTCACACAGTAAGTGCTCACTCCTGCTTTTTCTATTTATGTAAATTACCATCTTTCATTTTTCTACCTACGTATTTTTGTCAAAACACGCATTAAGTTTTTCAATAATCAGTTTTTTATAAAATAGTAAATTTAGGAAAATAAAACGTATAAATGAAAACTAACAAAAATCAAAGTAAATATGAACTCTATTTAATAGTCTATTTTCTTTGGATCATAGCTTTGTCAAATATTAGGTGCTAGTGTTTCTCTTTGTTTATTTAACTTCAGAGGTATTGGAAAGAATAGGAGAACAGAGGACTCTATGGAAGTCTTCTTAGGCACGAAGGTCTAGTCAGAGACATATTAGAGGCAGAAACAGGAGTTAGAAGGGGTAGAGGTAGACCTAGATTAGATTACTGTTCGCAAATAGTTAAGGATGTGGGCTGTTCTAGTTTTAGGGAAATACGAAGTTTAGCTCAGGATAGGAAAGAGTGGAGGTACGTGTCCAACCAGTCTTAGGACTGACGACCTTATGATGATGATGATTCAACTTCAACAAAACACTCAGTGATAACCGATGTAAGTAACAGTAAAATCTGTTATGCCTAATTTTTTTTATTTTATGTAGGAAAATAAAAACTGAAAGTCTCTTGATACACGTAGTGCATACTCAATTAAATAATCATTAACAGTTAAGTGTTTGCGAATTTGACAGGAAACAACTTTTAAATACATAGAACGCACTATAAGCAAACAACAATGGTAACACGCTGTTACCTACCAATATCTGCCAATTAATTACATCTTTACAACGTTTGTAAGATGTTAAATACATGCCTTGATGATCACATTCATGTATATGATACGTATATAGTCCACTCGGTAGAGAATTTTCCCGACATAAATTTGTTACCGGACGGGAGTTGTTCCTTGTTGTAGGTGGGGAAAAGTTAAGCATCCCTGTATATTTTTTAACTTCGAAAAAGTGTGCGTTAACAAATGGGGAAAGTTCAAAGTTGCCAAAAACCAGGTTTTTAGATCTAGAAGGCAAGATATGCCTTTTAGAAAGAAAAATTTCAGATAAAAATTGTAGAGAAATTAAAAACCTTCAATTCAGTCTCGGTACGATCAATTTTGTCAATTGGTTATTGCACAAATCCCAAAAAATCATCAAAAATTGTCATTGCTTGTATATTGATTGTTTAATGCAAAAGTGGCTTTTTTAGTGATTTTATCACATTGAAATGAAGGTTTTTAAATTTGGAATCTAACTAGTTTTTGTGGGCGTTTTCCAACGATCTCAATGAAAGATCAAATCAAACCTTAGTGAACAGGATTCGTTGCAAAATGTACGAGAACAGAGAAAAATCCTGGCCGTCCATCGCAAAGGAATGCGTGGAGGAGTACAACAATACAGTCCACAGCTCGGCTGGGTTCTCACCAAAGTACCTGATGACAGGTAAAGACAATGCTATTCTACCTGAAACTTTGGAAACAAATGGCGAAACTAATTGGGAAGAAAACAAAATATTGGCTTTTGAACGATCCAAGAAAATCAACGAGCAAAACAAGATTTACTACGATGAAAATGTCAATGCAAATCAATGAAACAAGACTTGGTTCATTCGTCATCAAAAAGAAAATCTCAAACACAATGTACGAAATTGAAGGTAGAATGAAGAAGAACGAATCAAATTAATATTTTATTCTGTTTTTTTTTTTTT